GCATGTTACATAATAGATAGATAGATAGATAGATAGATTGATGTCTTGGTGCAATAAGCCATTTTCTATTAGCAGCATTCTTCTAGATTAACTAGAGTCGAGTAATTCTCAATGCCATCACAACTTATTGTCAGATTAAATCACAATTATATTCTTTGTCTGCCAATACAGACAGACATTCAAACATCATTAGGACACAAAAGGCTTGTTTGTACTCGATCCTGTGATTATAACCTTTCCTTTAGTGGTTGTGAAGTTTGGGCAGTTAGGATTGAGATACCTGCTTATTTAGGCTTCTTGCTGTTTGTTCTGTAACCTACTTTGTATGCCCTCAGCAAACAGTCTATGTTGTGTTCCCTCCAGCCTCACTTTCTGCAGCAGTCTTCAGAGGGGGAGTGGGAAATCAATGGACTTCGGTGAGCTAAGCCAGCAGAGCTGTTTATTTGTCCACAGGCAGTGAATGAAGCTTGTTATCCCAGCTACAGTACAGATTCCTGTGTCAGCTGAATCAGTCTGTACTGGCAGATGTGGGTAGGGCAGTGGAATTGTAGCCAGCTTGGATGAACTTTGGGATTTACTGCGTCAGTGAAGTACCATCAGAGGATTCTGGTTACACTGGGCTGCTCCCAGTAAACATGCATAGTTATGTGACAGTAAAAATATCAGCTCGTATTGGTAAAAACTTACTGTCAATAAAGCTGACCGTTTATTTTCAGGGGCACCGTTTAGATGAGTGTTTGAAGGAATGGAAATGAACATTGGTTGTACATTAAAATAAAGTAAAACATCAATGCTATATTTTGTTGATCCAGGAGTTTATTTTTCTCAAAGGGACAGTCCAATATTTTCAAAAACAAAACATTCGGGTCCTCTACAGTTTTTCTTGCCAACCCTCTCATCACTGCCGCAGTTACACAAAATAACACAGTATAAACACACAAACTGACCTGCTCAGGAAATGTATAGAAAAACTAAGGCCACAAAACTTCCTATATTTTTTGTGTAGTTTATTTTCTGTCATAATTTGTTGCCTTAAATGTCCAATGTAAATCACCAGTGGAAGTGAATGGATGGTTATAGAGGGGAAGGGGTTGCAATCTGGTTTTTATCTATTGTCTAGAGAGCCTGCTGTGTTTTTGTGAAGGAAAACAGCCTGGTCCAATTGTGCTGTGGGATGCAGCAGTTTAAAACGTCTCTGGTTCTATCGCTCAATTAAAGTAATTTTAAGGAGCGATTAACTGTGATTGTTACAAGCAGGTTGTTGAAGAACACAAACAGGGACTTTCAAACCCGCAGCCCTGAGGCTTTGCCCTGTTGTAACCGCAGTTCGCTTGGAGCAGTTCAGTGTTTATTAATGTGAGTGTGTGTCCTTAGGAGCAATAAGACATTTTTTTTTTCAATTGAAATAAAAACTTAGTTGAACTATTTTGTGGCTCACTTAAAAGTGAGAAAGGCCAGATGTTTTGCAGTAGCCACACACAAACTCTGCTGGGTCCTGTGGTGTGAGTGGGTGTTTGTTGATGTCAAGTGGCAGCTTTCCATGGATGCAGCTGAGAAGTTTGAAAAAATATTTAACATGTTTGTGCATGAGTAAACGGGCATGTCTTCCCCTTTAAGAGACTATTTTTACAGGTGGCATTTTGAGTTGTCATAGGAGGAAAATCACAGGTGTTGCTAATAACATTAACGGCTCTGTTCCGTTGAAGTGCCCTATGATGAACCACCATGTGGAATACCAGGGCTATGACGCTGAAGCAGCTAAATGGAATTCAGCTATCATATGTTTTTTAGATGTGTTATTATTATATATTTCTGGGGAGGTGTGGTGGAACAGTGGTTAGTGCCTCACAGCAAGCAGGTTCTGGGTTCGAGCCTGGGCCGACCCGTTGCCTTTCTTTGCAGAATTTGCATGTTCTCACTGTGTCTGCATAGGATCTCTCTGGGCACTCCAACTTCCTTCCACAGTTCAAAGACCTGCAGTTTAGGTTGATTGGCGACTCTTAAGTGTCAGCCCTGTGATAGACTGGCTACTTGTCCAGGGTGTACTCTGCCTCTCTTCCCAGCTGGGAAAGGCTCCAGCCTCCTCCTCAAGACCTTCTTCAGGATCAGCGGTATAGATAATTGTTTATATTTATTGTATATGTCTTTTCTTGCAGTAGCTGTTCATGGACCCTCCCTATGAAGAAACAAGGTTACAATGGGACAAAGTACCTCAGATCAAGAGGTCGAAGGAGACACCACTGAGGTTGGTTTGTTCACCATATTTGTTTGCATAAAATTAAAACATATGGAGTCAAACAGTATAACCTAGGTGTATAAGTAAATGCAGCCCTAGGACATGAGTGTGTCATCAGGAGTTAGTAAGTGGAGTGAGAAATAGGTGCTACAGAAACCTAATTTGTACTGCCACGTTTCCTAACCAGATCCCCCATGACGTTTTTTGTTTATCTTTTAATGAAAAAGAAAACTTTTTGCTGTAGCCAGTGGAAAATTTCTCACAACAGCCAGAGTTGGCCTATGCAGAATTAAGCACAATGACCTGCCAGTAGCTTAATATAGCCAATAAGCCATTTCTCTACATGTTATGTTTTTTCCTGTACTGGTGAACGCAGTGGATACACTGTACTCTCTGTCTTTGTTTCCAGACCAGCATTGCCTGTCCTATTTAGCAAGGCCAGACCTTGGCCTAAAACTGTAGATAACATGAGTTGAACTCGACCCAAAACCCAAGACAGTGTCCAGACCCATCAGGCTAAATTTTGCTAACCGAACCTTCCATGTGAGGATGCATCTCACATGCACTGCAGTAACATTGTTTATGACGCTCAGCCTACTAACATTTTATAAAATACAGAGACTTTTTTTGTTGCGAACTTTTAGTTCACCAGACCAACCATTGCCAACTTTGCACAGCTCCACACGTGTGTACACTTTTACCGCTTAAACTTCAGTTTCCAAATTCTATTGTGCCTGCCTGAAGCCTCCAAGCTCCCAGCAATAGCGCTGGGCTGTGAAGCAAATCTGGCCAAACCAGGTTACTGCAAGTTCCGCGTTGGGCCAGTGTGCATCACATGATGCACACTGGCCCAAAAAAAGCATTTTTCCCCCACAGAGAATCATTGGAAAAGGAATGTCTGTAAAACAGTGATTTAATTTTTCCTAGCTTTAATTATCAGAATTTGGTTCACTGGGTCCAATATCATTTGGAATGTCTTGCTAAGCCATAGGATATTTTTATTTTATCCCATTCATATGTTTGTGGAGCCGACCGGAAGTCGCCCAGCTTGTCCAGCGGGAGACTCAGCTCGATGCTTGTGCTCTATGGGCCCAGCAAACACAGAAGTGTGTGGAACATCTGGGTGATTTTTATGGCTGGAATCTGGAAGCATGAGCAACTTTCATAGTACATCCATGGGAACCTCCAGCTAAAGTGTATTTGGGTGTGCATGTGCTGCTTGTGAACTCAGCCAGCTATCAGTGTCCCCTGTGTCCAGCTTAGGCCTTTTACTCCCAAATAACACAAATCAGTAACCATATATTAAAAGACAAGCAGTCTCATTGGCTGTTAGCCAGAGCACTAAGACCTATTACTGTACATTACTGTATCTTAAGGCTGGCTTGCCAAACAGTAAAGAAACAAGCTTATTTTGGTCACAGGATCTTTTCTTTGTCTGCACTAATTGTCTTGTTCTGACATGGGAGGAAGTGCTTAGCCTGAAATGAAGCTAATCAAGCCAAATCGATGACTCTGGCTTCATAAGAGTAGGTGCAGTAGGTTCTCTAGTTTTGGAAAGATAATACACATAAGTAGAAGAAGCCACTTCCTTCTTGATTTTCAATGTTTTCCTTTTAATCATTTCTTTCTTGGTTTCTTTCATGCTGAGTTGCTTCCTGTCTGCCAGCTACATCAGTTCATTCATTATATCTTATCATAAGCCTGCAGCTTGTCTGAATGTAGAGAAGTTTCTCTTCATGGCAGAAGAAGACCACATTATTTCTAACATCCATGTGTGACTAAAACGAATACAGCCATACCACACAGGGGCAACTGTCAGTTATGATTGTGTCACATTATGTGTTTTAACACACATTCAAAGCCTAACTGGGCTGTCCTAACTATTAGAGTAAGTTGCAGTTGGGGGAGCTCTTGGTTTGAATGAGCTGGAGAATGTGGCCTTTGTGATGGACTTCAGAGCATGATGGCCTGATTTTAAGGCTCAGTTTGGACCCACTAACATTAAGGATTTATTCAGTTTACTACTACCCTTATTTTGGATCTACTGTAGCAAAACAAACACCCTTATCTTGGCCACAGTGGTGCGGCGCTGGTGTCAGCTGTGGTGAACACAATCCCCCATAGAAATGAATGGAGAGAGCTGCAGTTTTTCAATTCCCACATTCCCACCCTCACAAGCATTTCAGCCTGAATATACTGTAGGAGGCATCAGCTATCGGATTAGTAATGTGTGTTTGTGTTTCTCTGTCACATTAGGACACACTTAAAAACATCAAGACATTTGTGGAGGATGAACTACAGACAAGCATGGTAAGTGAGCAGTGAGGTTTCACTAAGATATTCTTGCTTTGTTCATTGCTTTCATTCAGCCACTGTTGTGTCACCCCACCAGGCAATTGTATCACTACCATACATGTTACACCACAGCTAAATTTGCAATATATGGAAAGAAAATTCAGCCCAGTATTTTTAAGAAAGGAGAAGTCAGCAAAATGAAGTAATATTTCAAATTCAAAGTAAAGGTCATTTAAGTTACGCAGCCATTACAGTCCAGTTCATTTCATTTTGTCATTGTTACTC